CCATTTCCAGAGCTGGGTTGGCACAGCGTGCTGGGGAGGCAGAGCAGGGGAGGGATGCTGGCCTCCCTGGGCCTCCTTCCCACGGAGGAGATAAGACGGCCGTGTGCCGCAGGGCCCGAGTTTCCTGGGCAAAGCGTGAGGTTCGCATTCGTCCTCTCAACCCACTTTAGAGTGAAGGGTTTTTTCCCCCTCTGTGAATGCACACACAGCGCTGCGTAGCGAAGGGAGAGCTTTCGGCCTGGGTACGGATGTAGGTGCCCAGGTTATATTTCCAATGGGATGAAGTCAAAAAACCGTCTTTCCGGTCTTGGTTTTTCTTTTTCTATCCTTTTTCGGGGAGGGGCCTTCCTTTCAAGTAGACATTGGGGGAGGAGGGAGCCGGGAATACAAAGCAAATGTATAAAACCCCCATTTATTGTTGAAGGTCACCAAGTCCAGGAGTCCTAAAACAGAGTCCATAAAAACTATTTATGTATAGTTTTCCCTGTTTCAAGGAGTTTAGGGATAGTTAGTTCATGAGGACTAGAATCCTTGCTCTTCATTAGATTAGGAATCTGGAGACTCTTTACCGCTACCCGCTTTGTGTTTGTGGGTCTCCTGGGAAACTTGCCATTCTCAGGACAAACCTCTTCCCCCCCCCCCCCGCCCCCAGGCATACCCAGCCACCAGCTTCACCAGCAGCCAGCCAGCGGTGCTGATCGTGTGCGGCCCTGGGAACAACGGCGGAGATGGACTAGTTTGTGCCCGTCATCTGAAAATGTTTGTGAGTTGTTTGCACCCGTCCCTCCCGGTTGTGTTTGTAAGTGCGGCTTGCAGGGAACGCTCACAATGCACCTCTCTCTGCCACCCTCCACCCCTGGCAGCTGAGCCTCGGGGTTTGCCACCTCCCTCCACGGAGCTTACAAACCGCTTTATAGTGCTTTCCAGCCTTCTCCGTTTACAGAGTCGGCCTCTTGCCCCCAACCATCTGGGTCCTCATTTTACCCACCTCGGAAGGACGGAAGGCCGAGTCGACCTGGAGCCTGGTGGGATTTGAACTGCCAAATTGTAGGCAGCTGGCAGTCAGTCAGAAGGAGCCTGCAGTCCTGCCCTCTGACCACTGCGCCACAGAGGCTCAATACTGGACTGCTGGCCTCCTGCCCCTTGAGAAGGTCTCCTCAAACCGTGGCTGCCCAAAAGGCACCAAGGAACACGACAGACCCCAGACAAACGGGGAACTCCAGATTAACCCCCTTGTCTTTGCAGGGCTACCAGCCGGCCCTCTATTATCCCAAGCGCCCCAACAAGCCGCTTTTTGAAGGTTTAACCACCCAGTGTAAGAAGATGGAGATCCCGTTCCTCACAGAGTTTCCCTCTGAAGTAAGTCGAAAAGAAAGAAAACGGGGGTCCGCCCGTCTTCCCGCAGCCAAGGGTCGAGAAAGGCTGCTCTACAAGGGGGTCTCAGGGTTAATAGCAACCGCCCTTAGGCCCATCAATGGCTTCACGGGGCTTCCCAGCCCTCCGGGGGCTCAGTTCACCGACCTCGGAAGGATGGAAGGCCGAGTCAACCTCGAGCCGGTGAGAATCAAGCTGCTGGCAGTCGGCAGACTTAGCCTTCGGTGCTGCATTCTGACCACTGCGCCGCCACAGCTTCTGGTTAAGGCTGGTGGGGGGATTTGGGGAGTTGAAATCCCCCCATCCTCAAGTGCCAAGGTTGAGAACCCCCCTTCTAAAGAGAGCCCCCTGTTTTGGGGATGGCTGGACCGAAGCCCCTCTTGTGGGTCTCCACCTGCACCCCTCACCCAAGTCCCCCCCCCCCCCCCCCCCGCAGGCTGCCCTCATCGACGAGGCCTACGGTCTGGTGGTGGATGCCATCTTTGGGTTCAGCTTCCAAGGCGCCGTGCGGGAACCTTTCGGGACCATCCTGGGCACCTTGGAGAAGGTGACCATCCCTGTGGTCAGCATCGATATTCCTTCTGGTATGTTGGGTCCAAGTGGGCCTGGGCTGCTTCATTGTTGGGAGTTGTACCTCATCCTGCTGGCCTTCTGTGCCCCCCCCCCCCAAATCCCCCCCCCCCAGAAATAATTCTGCTGGAGAGCAATTTTGGAAAATTTAGGTCCATGGAATAAATTTCTCAGTGCTGAGAAATTTAGCTTTTAACGGGGTCTAGGCTTGTAAGTAGAGATAAAGTACATTTTTTCCTTCCATTCAGTTTATGTCCGATTCTGAGGCGGCCTGGAGAACGCCCTGGCAGGGTTGCTCAGAGTGGTTTGCCATTGCCTCCTTCCCGGGGCTGAGGGTAAATGGCTGGCCCAAGGTCACCCGCTGGCTTTGTGCCCAAGGCCTTTGTGCCTTCACCACAACACCAAACTGCCTGTCAGGATACAATTAGCCTGATTTTTATTTTTATTTTATTTTGCATAGCTGCTGTTCATTTCCCACCCTCTAATACGGAGGTCTCCAAACTTGGCAACTTTGAAGACTGGTGGACTTCAACTCCCAGAGATCTTCAGTCAGCAAAGTTGGCTGAGGGACTCTTGGAGTTGAAGTCCACAAGTCTTCAAAGTTGCCAAGTTTGGAGACCCCCTGCCCTAATACTTCAAATGATGAACTATTCAGAGCGGGCATTGGTCATGCCAGCAGACTTTGCTCCAAAGTGGTCAATATCCAACCCTCAGTGTTATTATTATTCATAGTACAATCAGTTATGGTTGCATTTATTATTTCTGTGTAATGAATCTCTGGGGATTGATGAACAGTGAGAAGCTTCATGAACAGTGGATCAACTCAAAAGGTCGGGAAGTCCTGTTTTCGACAAACTTGGAAGCACAAAACGGAATCCTGTTCTGACCTCCAGCATCCTTTCTCCCCAGAGGCTCCAGGGCCGCGCAGGAGTGGGGTGTCCATAAACCTCATCCCAAAATTAAGCAAGGAAGGGTTTAATTTCTCTGACTCTATTGGTGACCTCACTCAAGTGTTTGAATGTTTCGTTTTTCCTTTCTGTTCTGGCTTTGCCTCCTCCTGAAATCTGGAGAAAACGGGACTGACGTTCTGTCTGTGTGTGTGTGTGTGTGTGTGTGTGTGTGTGTGTGTGTGTGTGTGT